AAACTATAGCCTTGATTTTTTGTTGCACAATCAAAGGGTCAGGTTCAACTCAGCAAGCCATTGTGCAAAAACGAATGTTATGAACTCCATAATTAAGCTATTAGGAACCATTCTCCTGGCATGAATGTTTTGGTAACGGCTTGATATAAATCATTGTTATGAGCTCTATAATTGATAGATGTTCCCTGAGGCCAGTGTAGTTTTTGGTGTGATGCAGTTTGGGTCAAGATACAGGGTGCAGATTCAACTCTAGTAACTGCAAGCCTAATGACAAATAATAATTCCACAAATGATTGCGTTGGGACTGTTTTGGCCAAGAGTGGATGCTGGTCGTTTCTCAAGGGAGGATTCATTCTTGATTCACCTTCAAGTGTATCAATACTATATTTTCAGGTTAACTTGTTTATGATTAAAAGCTTCTTCTATTAATTGTTCATTGTCTGGACCTATCAATGTTGGGTTGTCCTAATATTAAACAAATTGTATAATGTCTATATGTTGATGAAATTATTTTCTGTTTTTGAATTGTTCATGCAGGGCACAGCTGACAAAAGTATCGATGTCGCAATTGCAAGTGCTTCAGTACAGCCGTTTACTGAGCAGCAATGGAGAACAAATCAGCAATACATAATTAACACTGTAAGCACTGTTAACACCTTGTGTTTTCATGGCCTGATAGTGTCTGTTTTTCTAGGCCTAGTATTGCCAGATCTAAGAAATAGTTCCAACTGAAAGAAGCAGCTCGGTCTCTTAAATATTTCCTTCACCAGGAAAGAAAGCGTCCCGTGACAATACATGTGTCAGATAGTCATGGAGATAGGTTGCAAGGAGCATCCATTACAATAGAGCAAATCTCAAAAGATTTCCCATTTGGATCAGCAATAGCAAGAACAATTCTTGGAAATTTACCCTATCAGGTAAGTTCAGTACATGTATAGTCTTACAGAAGATTGTAAATTAAATAAATAGGAAAGAGTACTAATTTCTGGCGACAAGGCTGACTAAGAAAATTGCTCTGATTGTTTCAGAATTGGTTTGTTGAGAGATTCAATGCAGCAGTATTTGAAAATGAACTCAAGTGGTATGCGACGGAACCCGAACAAGGGAAGGTCAATTACACCATACCAGATCAAATGTTGGAATTCGTTCTAGCCAACCAAATAGTTGCTAGAGGCCACAATATTTTCTGGGAAGACCCCAAGTACAATCCAGCATGGGTTCGTGATCTCACAGGTCCTGCCCTAAAATCAGCAGTCAGCTCCCGGATTCAAAGTCTAATGAGCAAATACAAAGAAGAGTTTATACATTGGGATGTTAGCAATGAAATGCTACATTTTGATTTCTATGAAGAAAGGCTTGGTCCGGATGCCACTTTACATTTCTATAAAACAGCACACGAAGCAGACCCCTTAGCATCATTGTTTTTGAATGAATTTAATGTTGTGGAGACTTGCACTGATGTGAATACAACTGTAGATACCTACATTGATAAGATAAGAGAACTTGAACGCGGAGGATCATCAATGAATGGAATTGGCCTAGAGAGTCACTTTTCTAAGCCAAATCTTCCTCTAGTGAGGGCTATTCTAGATAAACTGGCTACCCTTAAGCTTCCCATTTGGCTCACAGAAGTTGATATCAGCAATAAATTTGATAAAGAAACTCAGGTGCACTAGGGTATTCATCATTTATTTTCAGTTAATAAAGAATCTAAAATGAATATTTGCATCCTAACATTTCCTTATGGTGTCAACTCTGCAGGCTACTTATCTAGAGCAGGTGTTAAGAGAAGGCTTCTCGCATCCTGCAGTGGATGGGATCATGCTTTGGACTGCAATCCATCCCAATGGGGGGTGCTACCAAATGTGTCTTACAGATTATAATCTTCAAAACCTCCCGGCCGGTGATACAGTTGACAAGCTCCTAAGAGAATGGGAAACCGGGCAAGGAAAGGGCCGCACAGATGATCATGGATCATACAGCTTCTTTGGCTTCTTAGGTGAATACAAAATAATGGTGCAATATGGCAACAGAACTACAAATTCAACACTGTCACTCAGTCAAAGTGATGAAACGAAGCATTTTAACATTCAGTTGTGACCAACACCATTCCTATAATCTTTATCACCATACTAGGAACAACCGAACAACCAAGGTAGACTGTCAGAAATTTTTTACTAGTTAAATATCATTGCAATGGCCTATGGCTTTGTGCTGTGCTGAACTTGGAATTTCTAGCAATGTTGGGCTTCCGAGTACAGTAATTTATGTATTGACAAGAGTTAAATATTGTTGACTTTCGTTTCTTTATGAAAAGGCCATGGGAGAAGTTCAAAGGTTGGGCTTAAGGTTGGGCGTACTTGGTCCCTTTAACGGGGAACTTAGATTTTGAGCCCAATGTCATTACAGATTCTTACATAAGCTGTTAGTTCAAGTGGCCAGTGGAACTGTTCTGCTAATATTATTTCGAATGCGAATCTGAGTTAAGATTGGGAAGTTTTTTGTTAATACATCACCATCGTCTCGTTGATAAGAGTGATCAAAGAATATCAAATCGTTACAAAAAACACTTGAAGAAACGGTAGATAACTAAAGAATGGATGGAAACATTTCTCACCTGTCAATAATCTTCAGCAAGAAGATCAGGAGAGGTTTCTTTCCTTCCCTTTTTCTTTTTGTAATTTTTGCAGTGGGTTGATGGTGCCTCTTCAAAGCTGTTCGACCAACAATAATAAATTAAAAGCATGGTATATCCTGTAATGGACCTCTAGCAGGCGGCTTGCGCCACACTTTTCCGCCTCTTCAACAGCCTTCTATCGTAGCCCACTTTCAAGCCTTTAGCAGACTAGGGTTTCCCATTAAAGTTCTTCAAGAACAATTGACTTTCTTGTTTCTTGTGGCCGCTTAACAGTGCAAGTTGAAATTTTTAACTCCTGCTGCTGAATTTATATTATCCCGAGCTTTCTAATGACTGCAAATAATTCAAAGCTTCGTTGAAAAACTTCTCCGGGTAACATGAAGGGCCAGCAAATATGATGACAATCAGTAGTGGTAGGGCCCAGAAGAAACATGATGGAGTCCTTTCAACACACAAGATTTACTCGCGAGATTGATGATTGCTTTCTGTTGATTTAGCATGCAAAATGAGATTGTGATCTTGAACTTGCGGAGTAGCAATTTCTCTTCATTAACTGGTGTGTTATTTGTTTTTATTGTATAATTAGCCCCTGTAACCATTATTGATGATTGGCTCTTCATGAAAGAGGGAGGCTCATTATGTGCTAATTA